CCAGACCCACGAACGTAACCCCACCCCCCAACCAACCCACGCCTTGCTACGCTGGGGCGCGCCATCGCGTGCGTGCACTCGCGCATGTGCTCGTGTGTGGGGATGCGGCCAGCCACGCCAACCCCACACTGCGTCGCATGCGCGTGTGGTTGCTCTGTGTGGCCGCACGGCCCTCCGGTCACCGACATCCCAGCCCCACATCACCCCCACAACGGCCCCACACAGCAGGCCCCCCACTCATAATCCAAAGACGACGCAGACTAGTACCCCACCCACACCCTACCGACACGAAACAGCGCTACCAAAATACAAGGCGCACGCGGTCCCAGCCCGCCACGGCCCACACCCACACAACCACGGGCAGCCGCACACCAATAACAACCACACACACTCCAACACCACACGCACCAGCACGCACACCCCCACACCACAGAAACACACCACACCACAAACACATCACCACACGCAAACACACACGCTCCAACCCCACCAACACACACACACCCACACACACACACACACACACACACAACACACAACCACACACACCACCCACCACACGACCACACCGTGTGAGTGTCGCGATAGCTTGACCATGCGCACACACCACATGGCGTCGGCCATATGGTACGGCATGTGGTGGGCACCATTCAGTCAGTGACACGGCGTAGTCACGGATGCGTAGTAGTGCACAGCGCAGCACACAGGCGATCACGCCCGCAGCGCATCAGTGGTAGTGCTCAGTGGAGAGCACACCCACACTACAGCACGTCAGACACACACCGAAACACACACACATCACTAGGTGATCGACTGCATCGGATGCACACACAGTTGCGCACAATGTTACTCATGAGCGTCGTTCGATAGTGCGACGAAACTAATGCGTGACGGCAAACAAACGCATTAGCGTGCTGTCGCGCTGCGGCATCAGTTGCCAACGTAGCGCGACCAACCCCCACCACTTACGCGCCGTCCGCCGCCCCCACAGCACCCAACCCCCAATCCCAAACACAGGCTACCCTCACGTGCGCAAATCTCGTGTGTGCTAGGTATTGAACCGTGCGCTGCCCTCACCGCGCCCAACGCACCTACCCCACTCACCCCCCTCCTCACCGCCACAACGCCCACAACACCGATAGTCAGCCGTGCCACGAACCACCCCCCCACCACACACTGTGTAGTCCACCGGCAGCCACGGGTCATGCTCGTGCACCCCCCCACAACAACGTACACTCCTGCGAAATCGTCCCAAAGTGCTGCTGTGTAGTGAGATAGCCGTGCGCATGCTCTCTGTCGCGCCCCACGCCACACCGCCCACCCCCTTAAAACAACAGCCGCAACACTCAACACACCCTGTCGTGTGGGGCACGTGCGCGATCGTAGAGAACCCACCCCCCCCCCACACACCACGCCCCACGAACCCCAACCAAACCCCGCACCGCAACCACCCGCACAACAACCCCCACTCCACACTACTGTGAACCTCGCTGGCTGTGTTCGCTGTGGAATCGCCGTTGCGCGTCCACATAACCGCACACCCGCCCCTCCCCCCAACCCCCCGCAACCCCCACCATGTGCGAGCTGTGCTGGTGTGGAACCCAAACACCCCACCCACCCCCCCAACACCCCCCCACAGCAACCGCCCCGACACCCAGAAACACACAACCCACCAGATGCTCCCCCACACCCACCACCAACGCCGCCCCATCACGACCCAGCCCCCCCACTCCCATCAATGTCGCACCTAGGGCCTATCGCACTGCGTGCAATGCAGCGTGCTGCTCGTGTGGTCGGGACTCGGCCGCTGAGCGCGGTCGCTGGTGTTGTGTGGCGGATGGACGAACCCACAAAACCCGCCATAGACGCCCCTGCGTGCAGCCGCCGCATTGTAGGTGGTGTGATGCTGTGGCGGAACATTGCCAAGTGACGACAGCCCACAACCGCCAAAAACCACCCTGTGGTAGAGGCACGTGCACCTACTAAAAAATCGTGGAAACGCACCAAAAAAAATATAACCCACTACATACAATATCACAGAAAAGACAACGACACCAATGAAAAACGAATAATACACCATAACACATAAAACCCCACTATAAATCAAACCAGTCCTCAACACATGCCACGACACCCACCACACCAGCAATATAACACGACCACAACTCACAACCCAACACCACAATCAGCAAACACATCAAAACACCACGTAGAAAACACAAGTAAAAAACAAAACACCACAACAAGCAACATGCTTCTTGTGGGGATGCCGTGGCGTGCATTGCAGCGTGATGGTGATGTAGACCCTAGGCTATGACGTGCGGAGCAAACATCACTCCACACAACACAACACACAGTCAACCCACGTGTACACCGTGTCGTTGAATGTCAGCACAAGGACGAAAATGCTGATGCCGTGACATGCGAATGTGCGTGATAACAAACATCAACAAGTAAAAAACCACCACCCAAAGCAACAAATCGAAACATCGTGTGTTCTGGGAAATGCGTCCGCGGCAGGCTGTAGCCGTGTGCATGTAAGCGTGTGAATGATGGCGGAATTGCAGTGAACGCAATCGGGTGAACATAGCGAGATAGTGAAGACACACAACAAGCCACAGAACAAAAACAAACATCGCCCCAAAACCATATCAAGAAACACCAAAACTCAAGCACACAAACCCACCACCAAACGACACACGCCACAAACCACCCCGAAACACTGTAGTGTAGGATGACCAGATAGCGCAGATAGCTAAGCACGCGGCATGACAAAGTCGGACAAAAGTGATGGTGCGATGCGTAATGACGTGCGCATGTAGTGTGGTGTGGGATGCGTCCGAGAGACCACATAGATATATGCGAGTTGTGATTCGGAAACCCCCAAAAACATGCGTGCGTGCTATGCCTGCGTGTAGGATGATAGTTGATGCGGGCTGCAAACGTGCGCGCAATCCACGCAGCAACCACAACAACATTAGGCCACGAACTGCGACTAGCTGGGCGGATTGCAAAGACACATGCGTGGCAAATGCGGCCGTCGGCAACGACAACAGCCCGACCAGACCGATCAACCCGCACTGTGGTGTGTGTGAAGGAATGTGAGGCGTAGCCCTGGCGCCATGTGATTAGAGCAACGCATAAGAACACAAAGCCCGAACACGAAAACCACAATCGTGCAAAATACACCCGCTGTGTGTGATGCCGTGCGCGTGTGGTTGACAAAAACACGCCGATGATGATGGGGACGTGTTAGACAAAACCCTGGGCAGTTGCAACTCGGCGCAGCAATCCGCGACACAGCACATGGGCATGACGCCACAAGACAAACACCCAGAACCCGATACTGAGCAAGTCGAGCACCACACTCAGCTACCACCCAAACAACCCCCCAGCCCCCCCAACAAAATGGGAAAAATCACCACCCCACAAAGCAAACCCTACGGGCTTCGTGACGGACCAAATGGCCCCACAATCACGCCCCGTCGCGCGTCGCGCCTGCCCCCCCACCTACACCACACCCCCCCCAACATCAAATCGTGAGTAAATAAAATAACCCCCCACCCCCCGTGTCGGGCCAACTCAGATGCATTACAGTGGCGAGCCCCGTGTACCATCGACCCCAATCAAGAAAAAACGACCCCAAACCTAGTGAGCCAGCAACAACCAGCCAAAAACTAGTCGTGAGGCATGCAAGATACAAACACGCAATCGACCACTGACGCTCGCTCGCGACTGTGTAGATACGGGAGATGCCTGGTCGCGATTGCTAGCTGGGTTTGTGTGAGGAACTGTGGGAGACACCAAGGAACAGGAAAGAAAAGAAACCCATACCGAAGGCGAAGCAGAGCAAAGACATCAGCAGATAAAACACAATAAAAACAACAGAGGGCAACCACAACCAACAGACAAGGCAGCACGAAACTACCGAGGAAACAACAAACAGCCCAAACACACCGAGGGCCATGTGTGTGGGCCTCATACGGATGCGGTCCAGCGCGTAGTGGCCAAAAAGAGCCAAAGCACAGCAAGGCACATTTGCAAAGGCAGGCAAGCAGACACTGCAACAATGTGGGCGGCTGGGAATGTGCAGGAGAGGCTCCAGCACCGATGCGAAGTGGTGGGGTTCTAGGTGGGCGGCGAGAGCGGGAGACGCAGCACACATGCCAGCGGAAGCAGTGCCATGATCGCACTATGTCAGGCAAAGTAGCTGTGCTCGATGATCAAACACCACCAAATCATGCATCAGAGCACACACATGCAAAGCACAGAACCACAAACAATAGACTGTCAGCGCTGGGAATGCAGTGCGACGCATAGTCAAGCGGGTGTGTGGGATGCGTAGCGGCGCTGCTCGCGTATAAGATAGAAATGGGGGAATGCAGGTGGCGTGCATGCGCGTGTGGTGCTGGTGTGGGGATGCAAAGTGCGAGAAACCACGTGATCTGCGTCGTAGTTTGGGGTGTGTGCGCAGTGTGAGATGTGCACATGATGGTGTGACGTAGAGGGCGCAATGCCTCAAAAGTCCGCGGACTAAAAACAAACAGATAAAACAAATAGAAAAAGAGTAAAGTTCGGTGGTGATAGAAAATTGAGGTGGGCAATAATGGGAGAGACGGAAGCTATGCGCTCGTGGATTAGATCCGCCAAACAGCGGATGCACTGCCACAGCAAAAATCCCACCACGTGCGTTGACCAAATTCCGCGCATGTCAGCCCACAGGCTTCAGCAACGACAGAAGAGAATAAATGTAGTAAGTGTTAGTTGATGATGCGGATAAATTAAGAACGCCGAAAGATAAAAGTGGTTAGATGGTGGGGAAAAGCAAAGTAAAAGACGACGAAAAAAAACGGCGGAAATGAAGAATAATGTGGGAGAATGCGTGCGTGCATGCCCGCGTGTGGTGTTGGTCGGGAATGCGTTTGCGTGCATGCCGCGCGGGTTGTGGTGTGTGTTGGGATCGCGATGGCGCGTTGTGGTTGTTGTGGGGATTGCCCGTGCGCGTAATGTGCGTGTGTGTGTGGACTTGCGTGCGCGTGAGGGGTGCTGTGGCGGATCGCTGTGCGTGCATGGCGCGTGTCGGTCGCTGTTGTGGGCGATGCGTGCCGTGCATGCGCGATGCTGGTGTGTGTGGGATGCGTCGGCGCGTGTGGTGTTGTGTCGAATGCGTGCGTGCATGCCGCGTGTTGGTGTGTTGTGGGATGCGTGCGTGCTGCGCGTGTGGTGTGTGGGGGGATGCCGTGCGTGCTGTGAAGCGTGTGGTGCTGCTGTGGGGATGCAGCTTGTGCGTGCGTTGGTGAGCGTGTGGTGCGCGTGGGAATGCGTGCATGCATGCGCATGTGGTGTGTGTGGGGATGTGTGCGTGCATGCGCGTGTGGTGTGTGTGGTGTGTGTGGTGTGTGTGGTGTGTGTGGGGGATGCGTGCGTGCATGCGCGTGTGGTGTGTGTGGGGATGCGTGCGTGCAAGCGCGTGTGATGTGTGTGGGGATGCGTGCGTGCATGCGCGTGTAAACACATGCATGATATGTTCGCCTACTTTTGTCGACACGCAAAGAGTATTTGCTGACACAACACAATGTTTTACTGCGTCATGCTCGCAAACCTCTCAAACTTTATTATCTTCATATATATATATATATATATACGTATACGACAGTGTCGCAAATGAGATTCCACCGCAAGAAAACTGGTTTTGGACTTTGCATGAAATCCTTTCGAGTTTGATGCAACTGCATGTATTAGACGATTAAAGTGACGTGCGTGTCTGAAGTGCAGACTGGAATTTCTTATGTATACGCTAGAGCTCAGAGTGCTGTATACGCTAGTCAGAACACGCATCATTTGATGGTCAATTAATAATGTCATGCCTGCGTGCGTACGCGTGTGCGTGTGTAGTAAATAATGTCTAGTATACGTACGCGCATACCGCGCATGCATTTGTGTGTTTATGTACGTACACTCGTGTGTGGTGTGTGGTCTGTGTGCACGCATGTCATGATGTGTGTGTATTTTGCGAGCGTGTGTGCGTGTGCGTGTGGCGTGTGGGCGGGCGCTCGTCTGCGTGTGTACACGCGTGAGTCTGTGATCTCTCCGCCACGAGCTCGTTCAGCTATCTACTGTCATCTATACACATAGTTACCGTCGGAGCTTTCATGATCTCCAGTCTCACGAGTTTGAAAGTGACGGCGACGTCACCGAGTGAGCGCTGATGATAGAGAAGGTTGATCTGTCAAAAACACAACCCATAATTAATTATAAAATAAAAGCCTGGACCTCCAGCTAGAATCGCTAATCAAGTTACGTCATTCTTTTGTGCGGCAATATCTCAATCGGCAATAGTCGAGACAGACCTGTCTAAAGCTTCCTTTATTAAATGCATCGATTCTCCGATATGCGTCTTTTATTTTCTAAACTCGAAAATTAGTTATATATCCTAGTAGATTAAATTAAATTATTACGCCTCTGTGTTCTAATCATAAGACATTTCGATGGTTTGCACTAAAACCGGATGTAATGCAATTCGCACTTGATTTGATTTTGGCTTGAGAGAATTTAGTTTAATTTAGACTACGGAGACTGATTACCGAGTCAATTTCAACGGCTTCCATTAAATAGTTTCACTTTCAATGAAACACACCGACATACCCAATATATTTACAAAACGTCGCGAATCAATTGTTCAAAATATAACTGAGGCGACGTAACGTCGTGATTCGGATATATATATATATAATATATTATGTAGTATGATATAATAGCTGTGTGGTGTGTGCGTGGTGCGTGCTGTGTGTGTGTGTGTGTGTGTGTGTGTGTGTGTGTGTGTGTGTGTGTGTGTGTGTCGTGTGACGTGTGCGTGTGCGTGTGCGTGTGCGTGTGCGTGTGCGTGTGTGTGTGTCCGTGCTCAGTTTGATTACGTCGCATATAGCGAGAGTGACAGTAGTGAGATTACCCCGTTAATAGTCGCTAGCACGTAATTGAGGATTTCCATGTCGTTCTCGTCGTTTTCTTTCTTCGTGGCTTCATAGATGGCGTGATCGTAGAATATCGCGAGCTCGACGACTTTGTCCTTCTTCTGCTGCGCAGTCTGCCGTTTTGATCTCGCGTTGAAGTCGGCTTCGAGCTCTTGAATTCTCAGTATACCCTGCTCGTACAGCCGCTCGTCTGCAACACGTGAATCACTGACGTCACAAACCACGATCCTTTTTCGCGCTTGCATTACATCGGCTTCAAAAATCTTTAACGATTCCCCAAACGAGAAGCAATTAAAAGTGATTTTCTTAACACTGTGGATTATGTATGCGTTCACCTCTAAAGTGGGCAGAAATGAAAAAATGGTTTGGAGACGTATACTGACTGTTATGTACTTACTGACAGGGCAATTAATGTCGTTAGGGTTGACTTCGTAAAGGAAATGCGTTTCGTCTGCGATAGTTCCATCTAGCGACCTCTTGTGGCGCTTAAAAACATCTCTCGGTACGGGATGTAGCATGAAATGTTTTTTCGGCGTTGCAATGATGCCAGTCTAGAAATTGTAAATGTGTTAACGTTATAAATTGCATGCGATCGTGCGAACATCGGCCGATCTCAGCCCTAAACATGTGGAGATTGACGTAGCGCCTGCAGCTGACTTCAGCAAGGTTGATGTTTCGCATCGTTTGTGGGTTTTACGATGACGCGCCTGTTTGGCAAAGCATAACACGCCGCTAGGATGCACGAATTCCAGGCGCAGCTGCGAGAATATTCACGCATGCATTACGTGTATAATACCTATTAAGATATATACGCCAGAGGATAAGACGCGAGGTACATTCGCCGAGCTTGCCTGTGTATGGCGCACATATTAATACCCGCTATGAGTGCAAGATGAGATGCTGAACAATAATAAAACTGGTGAGCAGAGCGCATATGAGGGCAATATAAAGATGTTAAGATACAGAAATATACAGAAGGCTATTCGTGATCCAACTCGCGGCATGCCTACCAGTCCATCGCAACTGCTCATCGCGGCGACGCTGTTTGCATGTGACGTCACGTTGCCTAGGTAATGGCAGTGATCTGGTCGGACATGTTGAATCGTAGTCGCGTTGTCATTCGCATCGCGCGTAACGACCAGCAGCTCGGGCGACGCGATCTCTCCAGTTTTGTACAATGTCAAATGGAACGGGTCGCTGTTTTCGAATCCGTCTAGCGTGTAGAAGAGTTGGTCCGGATATTCGTCTGCTCCCTCAACGCAGTTTCGACTGCGCGGCACCACTAGCTTATAGTCGGGCACTAAAACAGATTTATGCAATTATATATAAAAATTATATATATATATATTATTTATTTATTTATTTATTTTCACACTCGCGTGCGTCCACGCACACGCGCAACACACACACACACACACACACACACACACACACACACACACACACACAC